TCGAAGAACCGACAACCGATGGGGAAGAAAGGTTCTCGAGTGGCAGCCTCGTACCGGCAGGCGAAGTGTAGGGCGTCCCCCCCACTAGATGGAGTGACGACCTGGTAAGATATGCAGGAAGTCGATGGATGCAGGTGGCTCAGGACCGTGATTTGTGGCATTCTTTGGGGGAGGCCTATGTTCAGCAGTGGACTTGTGAAGGGCTGTAATGATGAATAAATTAATAAACATATTTTAACTACATACGTGAAAGAAATTGTTTTTATTTCCATACATATAAATAAAATTGAAGTGTCTTTTTTTTATAGGAGTGGGGGCAAACGAGCATGCGGCTCACCTGATGGTAAGTGACTACCGCCGCTCATGAACAACTGCAACACCAGGGGAACCAAGGGAATTGCAGATGTGTTGCCGGCCTTTTAAAAAGGATTAGGCTCTTTTCTTGAAGGTCCCTAAGTCGTATCGGTCCGGAAAAATCGCTGATGGTAATCGATTCCACAAGGAAGTTGTGCGAGGAAGAAAACATCTAAATAGCACAGTGGTGAACCGCCAATCATCCAGATGGTGTGGATGGTATCGGGAGTTCTGCCGCGATGTGCGTTCGTGAAATTTGGCGGCTGGGATTAATCCGAACAATTCCTCAGAGCACTCTTTGTGATAAATGCGAAAGAAAATGCAAAGGGATGCAACATCTCTTCGCAGTGCTAATGAATCGAGCCGATCGGAAAGGACTCGGTCGTCGACGATTCGAGTCGCTCTGCGCTGGATGCAGTCAAGTGGAAGAAGCTGGCACTGGGGAGCCCCTGCCCAGAGATGGGAACAGTATTCCATGTGAGGCTGAACCTGCGCCTTGTAAAGTTGCAGGCGATGTGCCGGCATGAAATACTGTCCCGCTCTGCTGAGCACGCCAAGCTTTTTAGAGGCCAACGTGGCCTTCTCATCCTAGTGACCACGAAACTGCACGTCACTCGGGGTATACTAGAGGATATACGTCAAAGGGGTTCTTTTTAGCGGTAAACGCGCAAACTTGTGTCTTCTGAGGATTAAACTGGACTAGATTTAATCGTCCCCAATCAGAGACTTTGTTCAGCAAAAACTCGACTTCAGACACAAGTTTGTTCCTGTACTCGGCGACGTTTTCCCGAGAAATATTGGCATGGCTGGTGTATAGAGCATCACCAGTGCTGTCATCCGCATAGCAATGAATGTTACCAGTTAGCAACATATCATTGATATGCAGAAGAAACAGCGTTGGTGATAGCAAACAGCCTTGTAGAACACCAGCATTAATAGGCTTGTAGTCGGAGCATGCACCGTCTACAACGACCTTGATGCTCCGATCTGCAAGGAAGCTGGTGATCCAATTGCACAATTTCTCGGGAAGCCCATAGGAAGTGAGCTTCGAAAGAAACGCTTTGTGCCAAACCCGATCGGAGGCCTTCGCAATGTTCAAACTAACGGCCAACGCCTCCCCCTTGGACTCTACTGCCTCCGCCCATCTATGAGTCAGGTAGAACAGAAGATCACCAGCTGATCGACCCCGACGAAGACCGTATTGGCGGTCACTAATCAGCTGGTGATCCTCAAGGTACCGCATGAGCTGGCAGTTAATAATGGATTCCTTTATTTTGGAGAACAAGCAAGTGATGGCGATAGGCCTGTAGTTGGACGGGTCTGAGCGGTCTCCTTTTTTAGGGATCGGGTGGACAAAAGCTGTCTTCCATGATTTCGGGACTACGTCTAGGTAGTAGGAGTACCGGAAAAGACGCGTTAGGACCGGTGCCAACTCCGGAGCACACGTCCTCAGCACAATTGGGGGATTCTGTCAGGCCCACTCGACTTGTAATGTCCAGGGAGAGGAGAACCATTTTTAAAATTTCTGTCTATTTGTCTTGGCTAAAAAGCACCTTCAGAGTGGCCATCCTAACAGCAAGCAAGCACGCACGCACTAACAAAGCAACCACAAACATACCACTTTTGAATCACCACAGTAAAAATAAAAGTCAATATTATTTAATATTTTATTAAAAATATTTGTACATATAAAAATACATTTTAGCTAAATTGTTGTTGGAGATTCAACATCACAAAACTGGTATTACAGGTCTAATTACATTAATATTTTCTATAAAAAAGTATAAAAGTAAAAAACAGTCTTATCTTTAAGTTTCATATGTTTAACATAACTTGTTACATATGAATTATGAAAATCATTATTGCTATTTTAATTTCATTAATACTAATAATTTTTTATCACTGGTATTTAAACTATTATTTTCAACCTACAATTTTTCTACGTGGTAGAGCCATGCTGCTGCTATATTAGTAGTATAGTTGTAGCACGAATGGGTCGGCTCAACCGGGGAAGGACCACGCTCCCACATAATACCAACGTAAAATAGCAGCTTAAAACTGCTGTGTTTCGTATGGTGAGTGTAGAGAACCGGAGACCCCTTTTACTGGAAACGAGGCATTCCATCTTAGTCCTCATGGGTGACAACGCATCTGCATTTTGATTCGTAAACGAGGATAGATGTAGATGTCTATGGGCCACAGACAACCACTTACCATCAGGTGGACTGCGTGCTCGTTTGTCACCCTATCCTATAAAATATTTTTTTTTTGCTATGATTTATATGATGATTAATACAAGAGTGGGCCCCGATAGCTCAGAGACAAAGCGCTCGACGTAAAACGCGAGCGAGTGCTAGCGCAGTATATACGCGTTTATATTTATATTAAAACTCCTTAGTATGCAGTACACAGTCGGTTGTAAGTGTCACTATCAGCATTACAGCCCCTTACAAGTCCACTGCTGAACATAGATCTCCCATAAGGAATGCCACAAAGCATGATCCAAGACACATGCATTCATCAACTTCCTGCATCTCTCACCAGGTCGTCTCTCCATCTAGTGGGGGTACGAGGCTGTCACTCGAGAACCTTTCTTCCCTATCGGTTGTCGGTTCTTCGAGCTATATGGCCGGCCCATTGCCACTTCAGCTTACTAATCCGTTGGGCAACGGTTACTCTGGTTCTACAGCGGATATCTTCTAATTCTAACTTAATTTTGTCACTAAAATTTGCACCTTGTGGAGCACATAACTAAAATACCCGAAAAACAGGGGTACATAAACATAAACACTCACGCCTGTCACCCAGAGGGGTAGGCAGAGATTATGGACTTCCATTTGGCACGATCCTGACACACCTCTCTCGCTTCCTCCACATCCATATACCTACGCATACACGCTCGTCGGTTAAAGGTACTCTTGATTTGGCCCATTTTTAATATATCGCCAATTTGGTCGATAAACTTTCGCCTAGGGCGACCCTTCCCGACTATGCCGTTCACCTCTGCAACATAAATTTGCTTTGTCACTCTTTCCTCATTCATTCTTTCTACATGGCCAAACCACCGAAGCATTCCTTTCTTAATCCTGGTCACAACATCATCTTGCAAACCACACTCTTCTCTTATTAAACAATTTCTCACTCTGTCATTCAGCTTCATCCCTAACATACTCCTTAATGACCGCATTTCTACAGCATTTATTCTACTCTCATGCTTCTTCTGCCACACCCAACTTTCACTACCATACATTAAAGTAGGTACTAACACAGCATTGTGAATTGCCATACGTGCCTTTTTGGACACATTCTGACTTTTCACAATAGAGTGTAGAGCCCCATTCACTCTATTTCCTGCATTCACTCGTCGTTCTATATCCTTATCATATCTACCATCCCTGCTAAACACACATCCCAAATATACAAACTCATCTACTTGCTCTACCAACTCCCCTTCTATTCTTATTTCACATATCGTTTTACTTTCTTCTCTTTCAAAAACCATAACTTTCGTCTTACTTGCGTTCACTTTCATTCCCTTTTCTTTTAATGTCCTGTTCATTAATGTAACCATCATTTGCAACTCGGCTGCCGACGACGCAAGTATGACTTGATCATCGGCGTACAAAAGGCATTTGACGGTTAACTCACCCATTCTTAACCCGCATTCTTCTACTTTCAAATTTTCCAAACAACTGTCCATAAACAGGTTGAACAACCACGGGGAAGCCACACAGCCCTGTCTGACACCTTTATGGATGTCAAACCAGTCCGAGTAGGCCCCGTTGATCCTGACACAAGCACTAGAGTCCCTATATAGAGACTTCAATGCCTGTATCAGACCAGCGCTCAACCCAAATGAGTTCAGTGTTTGCCATAACACATCCCTGTCCACTCTGTCATAAGCCTTCTCCAAGTCCATGAACGCACAAAAAACTTTTTGGTTTTTGGCCAAAAACTTCTCGGCGATCATGCGCATGGAAAAGACCTGATCCGTACATCCCATTCCCTTTCTAAATCCCGCTTGCACATCCCAAATTTTTCCGTCAGTTTCTTTCATAACTCTTTCAATTAGTACCTTAGCATACAGTTTTCCCACAATGCTAAGAAGGCTGATACCACGGTAGTTTTTACAGTCCTGCTGTGATCCTTTTCCCTTATATATTGGGACTATCACGGCTTTGCACCAGTCTCCCGGTACCCGCTTAAGTTCCCAACATAAATTAAACAAGGTGTACAGCAGGTCTGCCACCACTCCTTCTCCAGCCCTTAGCATTTCGAGAGATACTCTATCATAACCAGCTGCCTTACCTACTTTCATACTTTTCATTGCTTTCATTATTTCATCTATACTTATATCTCTATCTATTTCCTCTTCTTTCGGAATTTCTATTTCATTTAATTCAAACGTCTCATCACTCATAAACACGCTTTCAAAGTATTCCTTCCATCTCCTTAAACTCAAAACTTCGTCATTCAGAATACAGCCATTCTGGTCTCGTATAGCATTCATTCTAGGCTGTTGTGAATGTCCCCTGGTAGTTCTTACGAGTTTCCAGAACATTTTAATGTTTTCCTGGAAGTTATCCGATATTCTTCTATCATTCTTATCCGTTCTTTCTTGCTTTTTCCTTTCAACTATTTCTTTTACTCTCTTATTTAGGTGTCTAAAAACCGCCTTTTTCCTTTCAATATCATCATTCATACTGCTAGAATTACTAGCCTTGGTTGCTAGTAAATCTAGCCATGCTTTCTTCTTTGCTTCAACTTCCATCCGTACCTCATCATCCCACCATAACGTGTTATTTTTCCTTTCATTTGTTCTCTTGCTTACACCACATACTTCGGTAGCTGCATCCACTAAACCTTTCTTGACATTATACCACACAGTCTCCAAGTCTAAATCATTCATACACAATTCAGCCATACCACTTATATTTTCTCTCAATCTACATTTGAACTTCTCTTTCACACCTTCATCTTGTAGCCTCTCTGTTTTTATACGCTGTAACGCTGTGGTAGACACAGATGTCCGATGCCTCCAACGTCTGAAAAGACCATTAATTCGGCATAAGACCAAGTAATGATCCGTCCCTACGTTAGAGCCCCGGTAAACCCTTGTATCTACCACCGCGCTCCTCATTCTTTCATCAACAATTATGAAATCTATCATACTTCTATCATCACCTCTTTCCCATGTATACGTGTGAATCTTCCTATGACGAAACAAAGTGTTCGTCACAACAAGATTCTTTTCCACGCATACGGCGAGAAGGCTTTCACCATTCTCATTTATACTTTCATCACCAAACGTTCCCAATATCCTTTCATAACCAAGCCTCCTCACCCCAACCCTTCCATTAAAATCGCCTAATATCACAATATTTTCATTAACCTTGCATTTCATTAGCACCATCCTTACCAACTCCCAAAACTGCTCTCGGATATAAGTGGGCTTAGACATGTCTGGGGCGTAGACCCCTAAAACAAACAACTTCTTTAAGCCCACTTTCATTCGTATCCATAGCAGTCTCGGGCTTACACATTCATACTCTTTTACACACTGACCCATTCTTTCTGAAAGGATGATACCGACTCCCTGGCATGCCCGCTCGGTCTCGTCTACACCAGACCAGTACGCGGTATACATGCCATGTGTAGTGGCATCCTTTCCCTTCCGTTTCGTCTCATTCACACATAACACGTCTATTCCTCTATCATACATCATATCGCATACTTCATCCATCTTATCATTCATTCCTCCACATACGTTCAATGTAGCCAGACGGGCTTCCGCAATCCACTTTTCGCCCCTCCGGGGGACAGAACGTGACGGGTGGCGAACCTCGTCGCCGCAGGGGGTAACTTTGTGTTATTTTTGCTCTCGAGAAAACATAATCCAATTATGTATTTAAAAATTAAAATCGAGACAGGCTAGAACAACTAAGAACTTGTTGTGAAGTTAACACCTCAGTCTACCTGTGGCTACTTGGACGTTGCCAACCACTAAAACTACAAACGTAGGTCAAATTAAACACGATAAATTAATTTTATTCAATAATGTAAAATATTAAGTAATGATGTTAATAAATGCATGTTTTAAATACAATTCATTACATTGTGGCAGCGCTGTCGTCGCGCCACAAGCGAAACATATCGAAGCCTAAATCGCACTAACAAAGTTCCGAAGTTAAAGCAGTATATATAGAATAGCTCCAAACTACCACTTAGAGCGTTGGCCGCTCCCCGGGCAGAAGAAGCTTTTCCTTCCACCGGCTACAACATCAAAGGTTCCTTAGTAGAGACTTAATATTGATTCAAAATCTACAATAACGAAAAAAAAAGTTGGTTCGCGAGTATTTACTGAGGAATCATTAGAATTACAATATTGTTAAATAGTCTTATTTATACCAAATGTATTAATTTTGTATTTATGTATATATTATAATATATAATATAGAAATAGTGTATTCTCACCACCACACAGTCCATAATCTACGTAAAATCATCCCTTTAATAACTCTGAACTAGCAGTTGATCATATAAACCAACAAACCATTTTTAACATCATTACCGCATTATAATAAATTTGGTCTCGCCTCCTCCAGGCCGGGATAGTTAATTTTATCCACCACTGTATACTATATAACGTACATGTGACATATGTAAATGAAATCTTAACATCACATTAGAAAATCTAGGACCTCAAAGATTCTTACCAGTTCTTCCCAGAGAAGTTGTTTTTTGAACCGGTGTAGATGCTTGAAACTCTTAGACATGTCAATTAAATAAAAAGTTTTAGCTTAGTATTTAATGATGACACCTGGACTTATGTACTCGTACTTTTAAAACCTAACAGTTTTTAAATAATAAATTACAACATAATAATACAGAATAAAGTGTAATTATATGCTAAATAAAATGGGAATGCTTGAGATTCAAAAGCTTAATTTCATTATAATATTATTAAGTACACTTAAGTACTTCAGTACATTAAGAGGATATGCGGGCTGCAAGAAACTGACAATAGGTTTTAAGGTTCCGTACAAATGGGCCCTATTACTAAGCTTCCGCTGTCCGTCCGTCCGTCCGTCCGTCTGTCTGTCAGCGGACCATTATCTCATATTGCCCTGTTTCTTTCTCCAATTTTGGACCAATAACTTTTTTTTTTCGAGAAAAAAATAAAAAGAATTGTAACTGTCTGTACGGTTTCCTTTTTTTTTGAAGCATAGAAAGATTTAAAAATAATGATTAATTTATGGAAAAACTAAGACACAAGGATGCGTTAGATAGGAGTGGACGGTTCTGTGGCAGGCAGCGTCTTAGCAATGAGTTGCGGCGCTGCAGGCCGCGGGTTCGACTTGCGCACGAAACAAGTATTTGTATAGCCTACTAATGGAAGCAGAAACAAACTTTTTTATTCAATATAGATAATAAATAATACTTATTGAAAGTCACTCTTTTGTTTAATTACCACTGGTTCGAAAAAAAACCTATGTCCTGGGAAGAACCAGCAAGAAACCCAGCGGGACTTTTTTTTAAATAACAGCTTACAATCATGTATGTTACACAATTAACCACACAAAACAAATTAGAAATAGCTTGTTATGTTCTTCGTTGTTAGCTTTGTATGTTGGTTGTTACGTAAACATATGTATGTAAACTGCGTCCACGATACAGGAAAAAATCCTAGTGGAGGTTTCTTAAGATAAACTTAAATAAAAATATAGATGGTATAGTAAAGAAAATATTAAATATTTACCCTAGTGAGGAATACGTTTGTATGGACTAAGCTCCGCCCGATTATCTTCTTAAACACCTATTTTCTAATAGATTAAAACTGAAATGCTATGATCCAATCTCGGGTTCACTACTTTTGAATGATACAGTTACATCATCGCCCTTCACACTCACTCTGGGGTGGAAAAACAGATAATAAATTACCATAAACGAAACTCCAATCACATATGGCACCACACTTAACACTAAAACTGGATAGAAATATATTGAACCCCTCATGGGGTCGTCCACAAAATAATACCAAATGAAAGTGCAACATATATTCTGAACGAAACATATCGTATAGTACACGGTATACCGATATCTCGTCCTACCCTCAATCGGCAGGATATAAGTGAATAGGTAAACCCCACCGAGGGCGAAGGAGAACGCGATCTCGGCCATTTTGTTGTGCGCACAAAATGGCGACCGGTCGAACAGCTGCAGCCATATTGCCATAATCATGACGTGGATCGCGCAAGCCAGCACTGTACAGTATGGATACAGGTAGGCAATTATTGACAGAGATATCACTCTGCTTACTGAAAAAGAAAGATTTTCTAGTTTTGAATGTGCCACGAAATAGAAAGAAACTTTTTTATCCAATCCAACTTAATACTATAAAAGTCGACTGATGATATGAGAGCCGTGGCAGCTCAGATGGTTAGCGCTCGCTGTAAGCTTCACAGTACTCGAACAACCCAGGTTCGATTCCTGTTGGCACCAATGAAATTCTTAATTGCAATTTTAAGTGCTGATTTATCACGTGCTCGGCAGTGAAGGAAAAACATCGTGAGGAAACCTGCATGTCTGAGAAATAAGAAGAAAAAATATTTCGAAGACGTGTGAAGTTCGACAACACGCATTGGGGCAGCGCAGCGGACATTTCCTTATCCTAAAACCCTCTCAGAAATGACAGGAGGCCTGTGCCCAGCAGTGGGACGTAAATAGGCTGCAACTTTACTTAACTTTACTGATGATAGGCTTCTCCCATAGATTTAGTTATAGGGGAAGTATTTGCCATATTTCTCAAGCTTGGCAGGCGGGTTAGCAACCGCAATTTTTTTTATTTAAATTCGTTATTAGGAAGATCTCTGATTTGTTTCCTTTTGTCGACTCTTAAGACACCCACGAGATGAAATGGGGTGGTGAATATTCTTACACCACCACTATCACATGAATATGCTAAACAAGGAAAAATATGTATATACATACATAAGATACTACAAGAAAGTTGTCAACACTTACATGTAACTAAGAAATGCCACAGGGTCTGCAATATGGTACCAGACCACCTCATGTTGGCCTTGTCTTGCTGAGCGAAGCGTACGGCACGCTGGTATGCAGCAAGGCACCACCCCATCCCCACCACTGACGAACAGATCGACAGTATCTGATGCACTGCAAAAATAGTTTATTTATATAATACTAGTTTATATTATATTATACCCCGCACACATTAATTTTTTTTTATAGGGTAGGGTGACAAACGGGCACACAGTCCACCTGATGTTAAGTGGTTGCTGCGGCCCATAGACATCTACATCTATCCTCGCTTGTGAATCAAAATGCAGATGCGTTGTCACCCGTGAGGACTAAGATGGAATGCCTCATTTCCAGTAAAAAGGGCCTCCGGCCACATGCACTCACCAAGCGAAACACAGAGGTAAACCTCTACTTCAAGCTGGTATTCTGTGAGGTCGTGGTACCACCCCGGATCGAGCATGCCCATCCGTGCGACAGAAAAAGCTGCCGCGTGGCTTTACCACTGAATATAAGTATGATTGAAGTAACTAAATGCGTAAAATTAATGTTGTACAAGTTTAGTCATACATGGTAGAGCCACATTGCTGCTAATGGTTGTAGCACGAATGGGTTGGCTTGACTAAGAAAGCGCCACGCTCTGATAGAATACCAGCGTAAAATAGCAGCTTAATGCTGCTGTGTTTCGTATGGTGAGAGTAGAGATTCGGAACCTCGTTTTACTGAATATGAGGCATTCCATCTTAGTCCTCAGGGGTGGCAACACATCTCCATTTTAATTTTTAATCAAAGACAGATGTAGTTGTCTATGGGCCACAGCATTCACTCACCATGAGATGGACTGTGTGCTCACTTGTCATGTTAAGCCGATGCTTTGGTGCATGAACTATGTCACTGCTTTTATGCAATGCAAACATATGAAACTTTTTCGAATTTCTACATATTTCTTTTATAGGAGGGGGGGCAAACGAGCATGCGGCTCACCTGATGGTAAGAGACTACCACCGCCCATGAACAACTGCAACACTAGGGGAATTGCAGATGCGTTGCCGGCCTTTTAAAAAGGAGTAGGCTCTTTTCTTGAAGGATATGATGTAAGTATTGAATTATAAAAGACATACAGTGGATTTCATTAATAACGACTCCAGTTTTAACTACTTTTCGGTTATATCGACGTTACTTTGAAGTCCCTTGAATTTGTTAGTATACTTTTGATAGATAATGGTTCGGTTATAGGGACTTTGGGTATTACAACAATTTCGTTTTGATCGAGTTTTGATGAGTCATTCATAAGAAATTCCCTGAAATCTCTTGCAGGTATTACGACCGAGGCCTTTCCTCAATGAACGACTCAAGAAACAAATATACAAAGGTCATTAGGCTTTCTATCTCTTGTTCGTAATCCCAGATGATTGGCAGCTGTGGATAATACGCTTAAAATTTGTTACTCACTAATGTCAAGTTTTCTGTCCTCCCCACTCCTACCTGTGGACATAGCGACTTCCTGCTATAGTGACGAAATTACACCAGTTTTTTTATCGTCATTATAAGTGAAATCGACTGTATATTTAAATATTTCAGTCACTAACCTGCCAGTTGATCATAAGACCTGAAGAGAAGACTAGTTTGAAGGACTTGCTGAGGTGCAGCTTCTAGAAAGCATTCAAACACTCTCAGAAGGGCAGCATCTGAGTCTTCCTTCAACATTAGCCCATAATACATCCTCTGGGATGATGGATCACGTTTGCGCTCTGCTTTGCGTGACTTGATGGCGTAACTGTGGGATATTAAAGAAGATGAATATCCATACAAATGTAAACCTAATGAGCTATTCATTAGAGACTAATTTAAAACACATTTGTATATGATAGAGCCATGCTGCAGCTATTTTATGACAATAGTACGAATGGGTCGGCTCGGAAGGCAGGACCACACTATCCCAGAATACCAGTGTAAGATAGCAGCCTAATGCTGGTGTGTTTCGAATGGTTAATGTAGAGAATAACAGACCCTTTTTACTGGAAACAAAGCATTCCATCTTAGTCCTCGAATAGAATTTTAATTTTTAATTAAGGATAAATGTAGATGTCTATGGACTTACCATCAGGTGGACTGTGTGCTCGTTTATCGCTCTTGTTTTATAAAAAAAAAAAGTTTCCAGCTTTCCAGGCTTTCCAAAAGCAATAAATTTCTGGATCAGAATAGCATATGGTAGCGTTGTAATTCTTCCCATTTCTTCCTATAGATGTTGTAACAGATGACTATTGATAATGCTAAAAAGTATCTCATGGCATCGGTTAGCGGTACAACTATGGCGGCGCTGTCGTCGCGTCACAAGCTAAACGCACCAAAGCTTAAATAATACTATCAAAGTTCCGAAGTACTGCAGTACATAACACATATAACAGTATATACACAGACAATTTACCGCTCCCTGGGCTGATCACCTCGTCAGGCGAGATCTCTCTTTTTATTTAACGGCCAAATAACCATTTAGTTTACGCCAGACGTAAATAAAATGTGAAATACTTAGATCAACGGGGAGTAGCACCAAAAATGTGGCAGTGAGCAGACATATATTATAATATTAATCTTAATTGCTGTTATTAGAAGTAGTCTAATTAAACTCATGACAAGAGTAACATGCCTCTCTTCTCAAATAACACTTTCCAACATTACACTGCCAATCTGCCTGGCATGTTGTATGATAAAGAAATAGTATCAAAAAAAGTAGTAGTATTCACTTTTCTGGGGCTGATGAAGACCTCCTCCCTTCCACACCCCTCATGCTGTCTCTAATAATTATGTACCTTGAATTTTCTTACATGAGAGCATCAGTAAATCGAAGTATAGGCGCCAATTGCAGTACTAGAATGAAGATCCTCAACCAATGGCGTTTAGTAAACTCATTGGTTACAGAGTCTTGTTGTTTATCTTGCGAATACCTGAAAGGGGTAAGTAAGTATAATTATAATTTAATAAGAAAATACTAATTATCGAACACTAAGGAAAGACTAATATAAATACAGATATTGAGGGAATAGCAAAATGAGTTTACTGTCACAAAGCAATTATAGTCTGTTCCATTAGACATGGTCGCCTTTGTGTCGCGCCGCCTTGGCACGTGCCTCATTTTGTCATTGCCGCCGCCGCGACATCAAAGGCCGCCAAGTGCGGCATAAACCCGATGGTAAATTTGGCTTTTCAAAATGAAGTGCCATTGTGAAAGGGTCTTTCTTACCTAACTTTTATTATTTATATTCATATATTACTACAAGAAACATAAATAGTATTCTATTTTATTCTTAGGATAGAAAAACATTTACTTAACAAACAGTAAAATAAAATAAAATAAAAGCAAAATAATACCTCCAGGTGTACCGACACTATCTTAGCAAACATACTATACCATTAGAAAACACAAAAGAATTAAATAAAAACGGAAGAAATATTTATGACGGCAAGTTGATTTTGACATTAAACACTAGTAATAATATCCTTTTTTGGCCTGAAAGTGCATCTGGGTAGGTACCCCCTCTCAATTTCGACTGCCTAGTAGCAGTGCATAAACTGCAGTGTTCTAGTCACAAGGATATATACAGCCTGCATAATAACAGGCTGCAAAGCATTCCATATCAGTCCCCACAGGTATATATACACATCTGTTGCCTTCTTTGTTTGAAGTTGGTGACAGGTGCGCTAAGGCTACGTTAACCACTTATCATCAGATGGGTAAGTTGTTTGTCACTTCAGATTTAAAATAAAAGTAAAGAATCAAGTTTAATTTCATAGACAAAATATTAAGGTGCAACTGTGGTCAACTAATAGCCACGAAATTTAATCCTATAACAGAAATGTTGCACTTTTTTCACTCCCTAATCCCTTCTTTTCCTCTTTTTTTATATAATAAGGGTACAAACAAGCACACAGTCCACTTGATGGTAAGTGGATGCTGTGGCCCATAGACACCTACATTTATCTTCAATTAAGAATCATAATGCAGATGCGTTGTCACCCCTGAGGATGGAATGCCTTGTTTCCAGTAAAAAGGGTCTCCCGTTCTTTACACTCACTATATGAAACACAGCAGCATTAGGCTAGTATTCTGTGAGAGCGTGGTATTTCCCCGGCCGAGCCGATCCATGCGTGCTACAACCAAAGTACAGATGCAGCTTGGCTGTACCACGTAAAAACTTAGAAGAATACCAAGAAAAGATAACCAGTGTTGTTTGCGGCAATTATTTTGTTACGCATCCTCCCTTGAGTTTTTTTAGTGGTATTTAAATATCAATTCAAAACATATTATGGAAGGAGTAACTTACATTCTTATAGAAACCGCAGTGTTAACAAAAGCTGGTAACAGTATGAATGTCAGTGTCCAACCAAATTCCATCATCTTTTGAGCCAAAGAATATCTTACAGCCACATTTATATCCAAACCTAAATCCACTAAATGCCCTACAATCGCAACAACGTACATAATAATATCCAAGTTGCTAATGGTTATATTCTTCGGTATTCGATCTGGTTCATCATGTGAGTATCCTTTATCGAAAATTTTACGCATTGCTTTCGACATTTTTAGTATTTTACTTCTGTTTACAACATGTTCGAAAGTAAACTTATTTAAATTACTTTACTCTCTAAATCTAAAGTAAATAAAAACAAAACAACACCAATGACAATGAGCCAACAGCCGAACAGCCAATGACTAGCCATAGATATGGTAAATGGTAATATAATCGGGAGGACTAGCTTAGAGCTTAGTGATGAGTCAACTCGAGTTACCAATACTAACTAGAGTTAACTCGACTTGCGCTTAACTCGAGTTAATCTCCCCAACCCTAACTCGAGTTTGGGGAGCTGAGTGCTGACATGAACGGATCAAGTGAGCCAGGAAAAGAGTAAGAGCGCGATTCGTTCGTTGTGTACAAAAGTTGTTTCAAAGAGTATTTAGCTACAACCAAAACAATTTGTTATTTAGAATTTTATAATAGCTAAGTTATGTAATTTAATTATCCTCTCATCTCAAGGGTACCTCGTTTACAGCCAGGGCGGCATCAGAGCCAACTGAACTGAGTAAGTGGCGCAAATATGAGTCTCTGAGAGACGACTACATATTTGAGCCATTTGCTGTAGAGACTGTCAATCCGTGGGGTACACGTACGGTGAAGTTCCTAAAGGAACTCTATCCACAACTGGTCATTGCTACTAGTGATAAGAGGGCTGGTTCTTTTCTCGCTCAAAGGCTATCTATATATCACGCTATATATACATGTTATACGCTGTATATGTATCACGATATATATACAAATGCTTGTTCCGTCCGGGATTCGAACCCGCGGCTCTTAGCGCTGCAACTCATTACTAAGCCACTGCACCACGGAGCCGTCACTAGTCTGTTTCACATTTTTTGCTATTTATAAATATGCGACACGCGACATTATTAATGAAAGAGTAGCAATGAGAAGTACTGCTACTTTCAATCTCTTTCTTTTATAAACTACTAACCAGTATATGCTGATCTTGCATTAGTGGGCAGTCACTAGTACTGTACTTACACTGAACGAATTTTTGAAAACTGCTAAGCTGTGATCGGGTCACTAATCAAATAATAGATCTGTAACTATGGTGTCAGTAACTAAATACATTATTATCTAGATCTACCTCATAATAATATATTACCTTTCGGTATCCTTAGGAACAGTAAAGAATGAAAAGTCGACATTCCTATTGTTATTTAAGCACCCGTATGCTATGCAGTACCTTTTGGCTTTTTGAGAGGCCATACTTGATTAAAAACTCAAGAATAAATACTAAAGTGCCTAAATACTTATTAGAGAAAATAATTTTTATGTTGTATGTAGGCACGCGTCATCTCGAGCGGGCGCGTGACAACCTCACGAAATTAGCCCCACATACCGGGCTGCGCAGTGTGGCTATATTTTCATGCCTAAAGCCCAGAGTGAGACAGGCCTGTTATAACTAAGATTAAAACCAAAAATACATAAGTATGTGATACATACTAAATATACCTTTTTATTTCAATCCTACATAATAAGTTTGGTAATTATAGTTATCCCAATCCACCAAAGAGCTAGATAGAAAAGCAAATTTATAAAAAAGTAATTTGTAACAAATCATTTACTCTGTTTCGTACTGCTAACTCGAGTTGCGTAACTCGAGTTGTTTGAATTTCAACTCGAGTTAACGCAAGTCGTAATTTTTCCCAGTTGACACATCTATAGACTAGCTTACTACATATTTTATTATCTATGCCAATGACCAACGACAAACTTGACGGAGTTTTGGCGGGAACTTGACCGGCGACGGATTGCTGCTCCTGTATTTTGTATTGTTTAAATAATGGTTTGAAGTGGATTTTTGATATGTAAAAGTGGTGCGATTTTGTGTATTAAATGTCTACGCATGTGAAGTGTTGGGCGATAACTCGAGTGGCGGTACATCAAAGAGATTAACGCACGAATTAACGCGTTGAAGCGGCTACACTACGTTTGTTTCATTGTGCACGGTGAGCGCAACGGAGTCGCACGTATGGCTACGATAGATTTGGAATAATGAAAAAGTTATGACGTTTCTTGGGATTCTGCAAACAGAGCCATGCTTAGGCAATGATAAAATATAGTCATATAATAAAAATTTACACTCATCAAATATAGAGTAGCAGCGTCAACGTTTATCTTGCTTGAAATTCAAGAAATATTAACGTAAAGTGCCCATACGTCCCGTTTTGAACGGGAATGTCCCTTTTCTCGGTCACCTGTCCCGTTGTCCCCAAACAAAGCTCCGGGACGCAAAATAGTCCCGTTGTCCTAAACATTAAAAAATTTAAAACTATGAAGTTTGTCAGACACGAACGGTGCGAGAGCGGGACCGACCAAAAAATAACCGAATAGGATAATTTCAAAGTTTACGCAGAATTTCGTTGGGTGGAAGTATTCAAACATTTCTCACCAACAATCTTCAACATATATTCTTTTACATTTTAATCGAATATATTTATGTCTACCTGGTACAAATGCTCCAGTAGAATAAGTATATTTTTCTATTATGAATAAATTGTGGACGTCTGAAAAAAAATCACTTACAGGTTTCAGTTCTAAAGGCGATAGTTGATAACAAAAATCAATGTAAAAGACTTGCCCTTATTTAAAATCATCACCAACTTTATTAAAGCAAATTTGTTCCACTGACAAATATAAATATAATTAAAAAATATGTTGCATTTAATAATTACCGTCTGAGGAACATTGCTTTAATGAAGCTGGTGAACTGGTGATTAATTTTTATTTTTCACAATTTGTTAAAATAAAAATAATTATAATTAATGTGATTATAATTATAGTGAACACTAATTGTATAAAGTTACAGTTTTTAAATAAATAACATAATAATGTTTTTATTGTTAACCTGCTAACGGAGTATAAATAAACCCATGTCCCGTTTTGAGTTAAAAAATAAATGGTCAGTATACTTTAACGCCGTTCAACGGCATTGAAATTGAATTGACGCTGACCTATCCAAGTGTGGCCACTCAGTTTATCGCGTTAAAATTAAGGCAATAATTGTTGCGTTTATGGGCATTGACGTTTCTCGTTACTGTGGCCCCAGCATTAGTGTAGCCCGCGCATCACAAAACTTTAAATTTTTTCACTGTTATTTTTAATATCAGTTAACCAAGTACTGTAAGTAAGTAACATTTCTTATTTACAGTCATTTTCATCATTCATCATTACAGCCCTTCACAAGTCCACTGCTGAACATAGGCCTCCCCCAAAGAATGCCACAAAGCACGGCCCTGAGCCACCTGCATCCATCGACTTCCTGCATGTCTTACCAGGTCGTCACTCCATCTCGTGGGGGGACGCCCTACACTTCGCCTACCGGTACGAGGCTGCCACTCGAGAACCTTTCTTCCCCATCGGTTGTCGGTTCTTCGAGCTATATGGCCGGCCCACTGCCACTTCAGCTTACTAATCCGTTGGGCTATGTCGGTTACTCTGGTTCTACTGCGGATATCCTCATTCCTAAGTTTATCACGCAGAGAAACTCCGAGCATAGCCAGAGAGCCATAGCTCGCTGAGCGACCTTGAGCTTCCTCATACGGCCAGCAGTGAAGGACCACGTCTCAGTTCCGTAAGTCATCACTGGCAACACGCACTGGTTGTACAATTTCGTTTTAAGGTTTTGAGGTATGTCTGACGAGAAGATGTGTCGTAGCTTCCCGAACGCTGCCCAGCCGAGTTGAATCCGTCGATCGACCTCTCGGTCGAAGTTGGACTTACCTAGTCGGACTATTTGTCCCAGGTAAACATACTCGTCAACAACTTCAAGCTTAGTGCTCCCAACAACTACCGGCATAGGTGTGACATGGACATTAAACATGATCTTTGTTTTGTCCATGTTCATCTTAAGACCTATCCGTTGGGAAACACTATTGAGTTCATTGAGCATAGTGCTTAGGTCCTCCAGCGATTCTGCCATAAGGACTATATCGTCGGCAAATAGAAGGTGAGTGATGTACTCGCCATTGATGTTGATACCATATCCTTTCCAGTCCAGAAGCTTGAAAACGTCTTCCAATGCAGCGGTGAAGAGTTTCGGGGATATGACGTCACCCTGTCTTACACCTCTCTGCAATTGGATAGGTTTCGTACTCTGGTTCTGTACTCGGATATCCATCGTAGCCCTACTGTACAGGCACTTCAATACTTCGATATACCGACAGTCAACTTGGCACCGCTGAAGGGACTGCAGCACCGTCCAAATTTCGATGGAATCAAAGGCTTTCTCATAGTTCACATACACCAGACATAGTGGCAAATTTTACTCTTCGGACTTCTGTACGATTTGCCGAAGGGTATGTATGTGGTCTATGGTGCTAAAGCCCTTTCGGAAACTGGCTTGTTCGGGAGGCTGGAAGTCGTCAAGTCTGCGTGCGAGACGATTCGTAATGACTCTCGAAAACAGCACGTAGACGCGGCTCAGAAGGGAAATCGGTCTGTAGTTCTTCAAGAGAGCGTTGTCACCTTTCTTGAAGAACAAGACCACCGCACTTCTGCTCCACGCCTCCGGTGTAATGCCACCATGGAGGACGGAATTAAAGAGCTTCTGAAGGACTTCAAGTACAGTCTTCCACCCGCTTTCAGAAGCTCCGCTGTAATTCTATCCTCGCCTTACCGTTTTTAAGGTGCTGGAGAGCCATTCTAATTTCGTTCGTTACTCGATCGTTACTCACACTTGCGTGTGGCTCCAACGATGACGTGTACAGCTGCCCATAGAACCTCTCAATCTCACTCAAAATCTCAGGTGTCCCGGAAACGATGTTGCCACATTCTGTCTTCAGCTTTGACAGTTGGCTCTTTCTGGCAGACAGATCTCTGGCAAAGACTTTGGAGCCTTGGTTCCGCTCGATCGCTTCTTCAATACGAGCTGTATTGCCTAAGTTGTGTAAGTTGCGTAAGTCCCGCCGCATGCATTTGGAGATCTGTCTGTTCAGATGCCTGTATGCTGTCAAGTCTGTTGAAGAATGTAGCTTCATCTCCCGTCTAACAGCCATGAGATTAAGAGTGTGATCGGTGAGTTTTTGTGTTCTTCTGCGGCGGGTCTTGCAGAACTTAGCTCCGACCGCATGGACAGTTTCCACGAGCTTGTCATTCATATCGTCCAC